CCGCCCGGTCCGCTGTGACCACACCCTCTACCCGCTGACTCCGCCCCATCCGCTTTGACCACGCCCCCTKSYCCGCTGACTCCGCCCCCGGTCCGCTCTGGCCACGCCCCCTTGTCCGCTGACTCCGCCCCCKGTYCGCTCTGGCCACGCCCCCTTGTYCGCTGACTCCGCCCCCGGCGTGACTCGCGTCTCGCTGCGCCCCCTCGAGGTTGGAGGCGGCAGCGCAGGGAGGGTTCCCGCGAATCCCCGCCGGGACATGGCGGTTCCTGGCCCGCCCCGGTATCCTGTACCCTCTCCCCCGCTGCCTTCCCTTTCCCCCAGGCCCTCATTGCCTCATCACACCCCATATTCTCCTCTGAAGCTCCCTGTCCCCAGCACCCTGCTCCCCCCAACATCTCCTTTCCTCCCAGCATCTGCATTTCCCCAGCACTCTTCACCAAACAACCCCTATTCTCTTCTGCACTCCACTTTCTCCCAGCATCCATCTCCCCAGTATCTCCTTTTCACTCCCAGCACCCTTCCCCCTCAACACTACCTGTTCCCCCTCTGCACTCGTTTTTCAGCTGCTCCTCACTTCCTCCAGCACTCCCCTTTCCCCCTCATTCTGTTCCTCCTCTAAATCCCCATTTTCCCACAGAACTCCCAATATTCTCCCGTCCCCTCCAACACACCATATTCCTCTCTTCCCTCCCTTTTCACCTGCACTCCCTGTACCCCAGCAGCCCTTCTTCCTTCACTTCCTTCCTTTTCAGCACCCCTTCCATGCCCACAGCAGTCCATTTCCCTCTGCTCTCTTCTCATACTCCCCATTCYTCCTCTGAATCCCCGTTTCCCCAGTTCCTTTCCCCCAGCACCCTCCCTTCCCCCCTAGCCCCAGTGGCCCCATTTTCCCCACACCTACACAGCTGTGCCCAGTGCTGACTTTATTCATGGTGGCAGTGCAGCATCACACAGTGCATTTTGTTGGGATCGTGGCATTGCTTGGCCCTACAGTGTATAATGGTAACCCCCAGAACCCCACAAACAGTACATGGGGAGCCCTTGCATGGGGGTGCTGGCACACAACTCTTTCCACTGGCTCTACCCACCCATGCCRTGCTGCCGTGGGGTTTTCTGGCCCCACACGTTTCCAGAGGAGCTGCAAGAGAAGGAGAAGTGTGATGGGAGAAAATCCCTGGAGGGCGAAATCCCTGGGGACCCCCAGCACCACCTGCCCCAGCTCACCCCCTGTAGTGCCGCAGCACGTAGTCCTCGAAGTCATCAACTGCCTTCTTGTTGCCCAACTCCTGCCGTGCCACATCCTCAAGCAGCTCCTCCACRTCATCCACAAAATCAACAAACCGCAGGCGGTCGTGGGCAAAGACACCATCGGGCCTAAAAACCCCATCAAGCCGCGGTGCCAGCCCCCTGAAGTGCCCCCCCAAGCCCAGCTGCCCCATGAAGCTCTCCAGCAGCTGCAGGAACTGCACCTTCTGCACCGGTTCCAGCGCAGCCCCCAGCACTTCCCGACCCTCCTTGTGGGCACAGTCAGCCACCCCCGAGCAGCCCTGCGGTGCCCGGTACTGCTCAAGCGGGGGCAGCTCACGGGAACCATGCTGGGGGTGGCTGTGGGACGGCTTCCCCCAGCCTTTGCCTGCCTTGTGCTCACGGGGCGGTCGGGGATCCTTCCTGTGACCATGGGGTTTGCCATGCTCCCTCYTCTCCTGCTCGTGGGGGGACCCTCTGGTGCCACTATGCTTGTGCCAGCTGTTCTCTTTCTTCACCTTGAATGGCTTCTTCCAGGGTGTGGGGGAGGACCTGACCCCCTCCAGCATCTCAGCCAGGTGCTGCTCCAGGGTGCTTAGTTCCTCCGCAAGCCCCTTGAAATCCCCAGAGCCCCGCACACGCTCTAGGGTTTCCGCTAGCTCCTGCCGCAGTGAATCCAGACTGCCACGGCGCTGTGCCACCTTACTGTGCACGGGTGCCCCTTTGGCACGGGGCTGCCCTGCTGCTGGCTCCCCGGGGCTGCCCGGTGTCCCTTTGGCCTGCAGRCGCCGCAGCTCAGCCTGGGCCTCCCGCAGGGCAGTGACCTCCCGCTCCAGCGCCGCACGCAGCTGCGCGTTCTCTGCAGCCAAACTGCGCTGCTGCGCTCCGGCCGCKGCCGCCTCGCTCTCGCTCCTGTGCAGCAGCGCCCGCAGATCGTCCTTGTGGGCCTAGGGCAGGGTGGGGGGCRATAAAAGAGGTGGCAGAGGGAGAGCAGCACTGGGACACAGCGCTGGGACATGGCACCGGGCACCAACCTGCAGCTCTGCCTGCATGAGCCGGATCTCCTGGTTCTCCTTGGCCAGCTTGTCCAGGAGYTGGCTCATGGACTGCATGCTCTGGGGGTCTCCGGCATCTGGCAGAGAGGGCTTCTGCTGTGAGTCCTGGAGGAGAGGAAGGTTGGGAGCCCTGCGAACTCTGAGGACACCCCCTTGCCATAATGAAGCCCTGCTCGAGACCCCTCCTTACATTGCTGTCCATGGACAGCGATGGCTCCTGCTCCCCAGCAGCCAAGTCCCAGCTCCCCACGCTTTCCACAGCGTCTGCAGAGGAGGACATAGGTCTGAATGTCCAGGCTGCTACAGGATGTGCCCCTGCCTGGGGGGGCTAGTACTGTACTCACCATCGGCCATGTCATAGATACCACCTGGGGAGAGGAGGGGACAATGAGGGGGATGYCTGGACCCCCCATCCCTGGGGTCTCAGCCACCAGGACCTCCACTTACCAGTGATGATCAACAGCCCTACAGCAACCAGTGCTAAGGCACCCAGCAAGTACTTGCTCATAGTGAGCCCATCATCATCCGTGTCTGGTGTCCCTTGGTGTGGGGCAGGCGTGACAGTGGTGGGCTCAGGACAGGGCTTGTGACGCTGCCGCCACCGCAGCCCGTCTGTGTCAGTGTCACTGCTGGTGCTGYCCCTGTCCTTCACTGTTGGCCCTGGGGAGAGATGGGGAGACCTCCAGGGAGGGTCTGCACCTAAGCACTGTCAGCACAGACTCCCCCAGGCCAGTCCCCTGTGAGACCCTGACCTGCTTGGGGAGTGTCAGGGCAGGGTTGTGGCTCTGCCTCRGCATTCGGCTCCTCCTGCTCATCACTCTCCAGCACACCGGGCTCTGCAGAGCCATTCAGGGCAGGCACTGCCTTTGCCTTGCTGTCCTCATACTCCTCTGGCTCCTGCAGACACAGGCGCTGGCACCTGGGGTGTCCCCATGGAGGGAAGCAGCCAACTGGTCCCAGCTCAGCCCCAGGCTCCCAATTCTGACTCACCCCCTGCCTGCTGCCCTCAGGGGAGGTGGTGGCACCATTGGTGGTCACGGCTGAGGAGAGTCAGAGCATGGGGGTGAGACAGTCACACAGTGAGGCAACAACCAGACCTGCCCCGCACCCATGGTGGCTGCCTGCCTGTGACTGTGTCCTGGGTGCCTTCATCTTCCTCCTCCAGCTCCTCATCCTCAGACCCATGGGAGGYTGAGTCGTGCTCTGGACCCAGAGTGTCGATGGGCAGATCCTAGGGGAAGGGGGTACATAGGGAGACACCCTCAGCCCCAATCTCCATGTGCCTCATTCTGCCTGCAGCCTCATTCCCCCTGCAGGGGTCTCCAGCTCCAGGGGGCTGCCCTAGGGGCCCCAAATGGGATCCCCAGTTCTGATATGTTGCCCTGGAGATCTCATTGAGTGAGGGTCTGCTCTGGGGGCCACTAGCCCTCACCTCGCTCCCCTCCAGCACCCAGCTGCTCTCTGAATCTCGGGAGTCCAATTTCTCTGCCATAGGGACAGCTCAGTGCCACCTGCAAGGAGACAAGACGGACTGATGCACAGACAGCGGGACATGACCCAGCTCCCAGCACCAGCTGGATGTGACCGCGACAACCATGATTTGGGTGCCAGCCTGTCCCCAGGCGCTGCCTGAGGCTGGGGGGCTTTCAGCGAGCCGTCCCGGGCCACCGGCTGTGGCTCCACCCCCGCTTGATCCCAGCTGCCGCCGCGGGGTATTTTTAGCCGGTGATGCCGCCCGGCAGGTGGASAGAAGACACGGGGCCTGGCGTGGGGAAAACAGGGGGCCCTGCTCGGGATCGGGATCCCACCGCCCCACAGCAAAGCGGCAGCACCGGAACGGGGTCTTTAACAGCCCCAACCCCCCCTTACCCGCCCGGGGAAGAACCCCGTCCGGGACTCAGCACCGGCCCGGGAGTGACAGCCCCTCCGGTGACAATCCCATCCCCTCCCGTCCCGTCCGTTCCCCCCGGCCTTGCCCGAGCTGCGCCCTCGCCCCACGGCCCGGTCCCGACGCCCGTTCCGGCCTGGCAGCGGCAGCGCCTCCCTGCGGCCGAGGCGGTTCCTGCGCCCACCGCGTCCGGCCGGGAACTTTCCCCGGGGCCGCCGCCTCCCCTCGGGACGGGGCGCGCACGTGACTCGAGCAGCCAATCGCGGCCCGCGGCGGACCAATGAGGAGCGCGGGGGGCGGGAGAAGCGCGCGCGGCACCGGACACCCTCAGGACAGCCCCCCCACTCCCCTCAGC